TACTGCCATGTTTGGAAAAAACCTGGATTAAGTTTCTAAATTATGTAGTTTTGTACACAGAATCTGAATGATGTTCAGAGGCATTAACAGAGCTCTGAAGAGCACTATTCTTTGGGGCTATGAAATTCCACTATGTACAGTTTGTAGCCACACAAAAAGCATGCTGAAATGTCTTATTTCATATTACGTACTAAATCTGCAGTGATTTTTAGATTGAATCCATTGCATTTTAGAATAATTTTTTTGATTCCAAACAGTTCTTTCTAAAAATCTTTGTAGACATTTCCTAACCTGGACAAATTCATTTTCTGTACTGAAAAAAGAATCATTCTCCAGCCTTGCTTTGGAGTGACAGAGGTTACCTTTTATCAAAAGAATTAATAGTAGTTAGATACATTTGATCTACAGAGGTCTCCTTTTAAAAAGTTCTGTTATTGCAGTGTTTATTTTAGATACATTACAGTGAGTAGTTACAGCTTATTTTTATTTTCTTCCATTGTACAAGAACAAGGTTTTGGTTTGACTCCTTTAATTGATCAGTGTAGTAACTTGTGCTAACTTTTAATAGGAACTGAATTTGGCCTCAAGCTAGTACCCTGCCTTTTCGTTTCAAGGGAAACAACAGTGATCAGAAACTCGGTCAGGAACAGAAAGTGGTTTGGATTAAATACAGAGCAGAATTGTTGCAGTACTAATGGTGCCGCTGCCCTTAAGAGTCCTTCTGCTTAGGTGCTCCTGTGTAAGGACGCAGACATGGGAAGATATAAGTTATGGGTCAGAAATGGTCAGGAAGGCGAGAGGCAGAAATTCCGCTCTTTAATGGGAAGGAAGTGCCTGATTGACACTGGAGGGAGGCACCTACCCTGGCTTGGAGATGCTCAGCTGTGCTGTGAACCAGCCTCCTGGAACTGACATCTTGAAATCTGGCCCAGTGTTTCCTGTGGAAAAAACCCTCTGTTATCCCCAGCATCTTTGTGGTCAGGGCACAGATGTGCAAAACGTTGCAGGATCCCTGATACAGAGCGGGGATCTTGGATTAGTATCTCCAGTGTGTAAGTTCTAATAATAGGTTTGGCCTCTTTTTCATGACATACTTAAAAGGAGCAGAAGCCTAAACCTGACTCTCCAGCACTGCAAGCTGAAAGCCATCGCCACTGGGATATAGAGTCAACCTGTCTTGTCTTCTGCTGTGTTGGAAAATTATGTTGTAGCTTTGACAGTTCAGTGATATTCAAATTTAAGAGCTTAACTACTTCTACAGACCATAGTAATTTTGTTTTAGCTGTGCTGTCTGAGGACAAAGAGAAGACAAGAATTGTACACAGAGATAAGACTTTCCGTTTAGACTGACTGGCATAAGGTGGAGAAAAGTAGAAAGCTCCCAGGCAGGCCTTGTTTACTTTGTTCTGATTGCATCAGATGGTGTAAATAAAATGTCACTTGGAAAGCTCCTCTTGCCCATAGAGACTGTGGGCATAAGCTAAGCACTGGCCTCATAAATGGAGTTTATTCTTGGATTTAGGAACATGGGTGAATAGGCTCAGAATCCTGTGTGAATCTAGCCTACTCTGGTGCCACAGCCCAGTTTGTTATATGTATAATGCCATGACATCAAATTATTGCCATGCAGTGGCTCTTCATCACACCTTAGCTAGCGAAGATGTAACAAAGTGTTTAGGTTTTCTTCTCAGCTGTGCCTGTGAATGAGTGATGCAAGTAATTTAAACTCTAGCTATTTATTACCATTTAGATTGCAGAAGTAGGTTAGATATTGCAGTTTCTTAATATAAGTAGTTTTGCTGACAGTGACTTTCATCTTTTTCCGTGAGTTCGAGAGTTTACTGATAGCACTTATTAAGAAAGCTGTGTACTTATTCTCAAAGCATCACTGTTCCTGATGCTTCACAGTAGTTAAGATGAATCATTGCCAATATATTTAAATATATAGAACCCTTACCACATTGATTGCAGAACTCTGGCGTTACCAGTATATTTAGTTTTCCGGAATGTTGAGAGGAAATTTATCAAAGACAACAAATTAACTTGTGCTTGGTAAAATATGTGGGGGTTTTTCTAAAGGTTGTTGCATTTTTATTACATTTGTACTAGCAGGAGTTGGAAATACTATGGGCTGCTTTAACACTTTAAATGTTCCCGAGCTTATATGCTCTCTAAATAAATGTGCCACGTTAACACAAATTACGTTTTGTAGATTCAGGTAAATTCAGACCTGGTGTAATCAGATAGTTCTGCAAGTTTGCTTGGAAATTTTGCTGAGAAATAGAAAAAGCGGGAAAAATATTTTCTATCTAATTATCTCTGCAGACAGCTATTTTGGGCTTTCTACCTTTCAACTCCAGTCCCCAAGTCAGGCTAAAGTGGTGCAAGCCTCCTTCCTGGAATTATCATGAAATAAGACTGCTTTGGCTGTCTGGCTCAACAGTCACTAAACAGGGCACTGTTTATGGCTGGGTATGCTCTAGGGGGCTGGGGTCTCTTATATGTCTCAGTCATAGGTTAGAGTATCACCACAAGAATTCCTCAGCATCTTAAACCTATTACCTGATTTTTTGGGAGTTTTTTCCTACATTTATTTAAGTTATTTTTGTTGTGGCCTTAAAAATCTGCTCTAGGCCACTGAATCTTACAGTAATCAATTAATGGAAAGTGTTTCAAAATAAACTGCGTTATCCTATGATCCTATTAGCTCCTTCTGATGCTCGTTAAAGCTTCAGTAAAGAAAACTTCTGTGACACCAAAGACATTATCAGAAATCTTCATTATCTCGGCAAATTATTCTTAACTTCTTATACTGGATGCCAAACAGGCGGTCTGATGTGAGCACTGGCTTTTCTGAGCTGATCGGGATTGCTCTGAACCAAGGAAATAGAAGACTGTTCGTAGAATCTTGCTTGGCTCATTCAGCGGGTAGTCCTACTGAAAACTTTGTAAATAATGTGAGCAGGATGTGATCCAAATTAGCACTTTTTATTTATTTTTTAATTAAAGAGCATTTCTAAATCACTGTATAAGGCTTTGCGCTTTAGCAGGAGTCTCAACCATGTATTTGCATTGATAGAAAATACTCCTATAGATACATTTGTTTTCTCTTAACTGATGAAAGATGGCTTAGAAATATTCAAACAGATAAACCTATGATTCATGGACCAATAGGAGACTGAGCTCTTCTGTCATATCACTGCTTGTCTGGCTTTTTCAAAAGCCGTTTTTAAATACCTTGAGTCAGTTTAGAGCAAAGCAATTTATACTTTGCCCATGTGATACACAACTGTTTTAATGGGCTGGAGTGCGATTAGTCTTTGGCAAAAGTACACAACTGTGTAACATTTTTCCTTCATTTTTTTTCCATGTGTATTACCATTTCAGTAATCTGTTGTTGTTGGAAATATTTGCTCCAAATGAAGTATTGTAGTAATTTGTAGTTTGCTTCCAAAGTGGAAAATATTATTTTAGTTTTGTGTGGGGAGGGGGAAGAAAAAATAAAATACTTAAATCTCTTCAAACCTTGCTCCCCTGAAATAAATTAACCCTAGGTTCTGTATTTGTTCTGACTGGGAAGGATGTATATTGAAAAAGCTAAAGCAAGTAACTGTACTAGAAAGGGGAAAAAAACCCTGTTTTTAAATTATCTTTGCAATCACCAGCATAATGCTGAAAGGCTGTTAAACAGCTGGTGTTTTCAGGCTAGCATTGATTGCTGACATAAAAATACTCCACCACCACCACACCCCGCCCCCAATGAGTGTGTCTTTGAGGGTGTTGCTTTTCTGGCCTTGGTGGTCTTTTAAGGGTTTTGCTGCTCTCTGCTGTGAGTAGCTAGAACTTAAAGTAACTTAATTTTGAAAAAGATGAAGCTTCCTTATCAAGGGGACAAACTTCTGAGATCTTCATTGATTTCCATCATATTGCACCATAGGGCACTAAAGATGGAGTATTTTTACTGTAGAACTGAACTGGGTGATCACTGGTGCTATGATTCCTGGTGGGGAAAGGTTGTAGAGTCAGGCTGCAGCTGCCTGCAGGACCAGAGCTTGTGCTGTTAGCTAGGGTGGGAGGAGGGCCTGACTGGCATCCTTCGCCTTCCATGGATTGGTGGTTCAGTGCTTTTCGTGTCAGAAGGAGAAGGTTGCTCAGTGTCTGCTGAGAGGAGAATGTGGTTCTCGTCAAGCCTTAACAGTGGCTGAAACACACAGTACTGTAAGATGCACTGCCAGCATATTTGGTATTTTAAAATAAATACAGTTTTTCCTTAGAGATCAAATTCTAGTATTGAAATACTAAGTCTTACTGTAACCAGTTTACTCTTTTTGTTGTTCAGTTCTTCCTAGTGCTCATATTTCATACAGCACACTCCGCTTTGGAAAGCTGTCATCTTCATTTTCCAGCAGGTAGTGTTTGTGACAGCTTCTACTCCTGCCTTGTGGACTTCACAGCTGTAGGAATTGCCGCGAGCCTGAACTTGTGCTTCCCTTCCACCCTCACTGGCCTGCCACACATAATGGCAGCTGTAATAATACCTACTGGACTTCTAGAGCTGGGGTTTAAAAACTTGCTGCTATATTTGGAAACCTGATATGGGTCATGTTAATTGTGCCTTTCATCACCGTTTCTTCTGCCTGCCAGCGTTGTCCATGTAGAGTTGTAACAGTCATTAAAAGAAATCTGTTCTCCAGCTCTTTCACGGAAGGAGGGGACAGTTCTGTAACTAGAGACAGTTGTTGCTTTACCACTGCAACACTACTAGGATCCCTACTTCCACACAGTCCCAAGGCAAGGCATTCCCGTATTGTTCTTAAATAAAACTGCTTTTTGGTGTCACTTAAAACCCTCATAATGTAGAGCTTATGCCAGTAACTGCAAAATCTCTGCAGTACGAGTTATGCTAAATAGACTTGTTGCAGTTAAGTTTAAGCTAGAGACGTACAAGTAACTTGTTTTTAGGAATGTACTGCGAACATATTTGAACAAAATTGCTCACATTAACTGTTGTAAATATTTTAATAAAAAAGGACACTTCAAACTTTTTTACAATTATCTACAATAAAGAGAAATTTACAACCATTTACAAAATGTTCTTAACTTTTTCTTTACTGTCAAGACATCTAAGATAAAACAAAAAAAAACCCTGTTAGATATATCAAGTCCTGGTTTTATTTCACTCTGTATTTATAAAAGGAACAAAGCATCTTGGTGAAGTTCCATCCACACGCTAATGAGATCAAATAGAGCACGATGAGAAGTGCAAACGGATACAAAAGAATAGCTGTGTTCTTCAAAAAGGGCAATGCTGAAACAGAAGCAAGAGCAAGGCAAGTATGAAGGAGTGCTCTTTCAAAAAAGGTGCTTCATATAGAAGGGCCTTGAGGAAAGGCAGCAAGAAATAGCAGTACTACTCTGCCAGCCACCTTAGAAGGGCAGGCATGCCACCTCTGCCCTACTCAGCCTGGGATCCCAGGTTAAAGAGTGCGCGAGTTAACTGGTGTAGGTAATGCCCCAGGAAACTTAAATGCCCCAGTTTTACCTAAAACTATAGTCTTAAAACTCACTACAGAATTTCTATCCAATGCAAACATTTTGAAGTGGATTTACAGAGGAAGAAGAAAAACAAGTTGTGGTGCTACTAGTCTAAGACAAGACAGGAAGTGGGTATGGTGAAGAATATGAATTCTTTAAGATGTCCCCCCAGCTGGAAACATGGATTGGTAAATTGCTATCAAACTTCTTTTGCCACAAAAAAAGAATTACTTTCAACAGCCAGGTGAGCCTCTGCTTCACAAATTAATAGACTAAGATCAAATTAACAGCCTAAAATCATGCTCCCATTTTTAGTCAAACAGAAGCTATCATTACTTACCACTGTATCCTAGGAATGTCACATAGATGTAGTAGCCAATTGCAATCAGCCATAATGTATTCCCAACAAAATACCCAATGACTGAATCAGATATGATGACATCTGGAAGAGACAACTGCTGTCAGCTGTTGTGACAGAGCATGACTTTGAAGCAGGGAGCATAAAATACTCTACTTACAGTTAATGAAAAACAGCTGGATAAAATGCAAAATGACTAGAAGTGGATAGAAAGCATTCAAATGAACATCAAAGGCGTATCCCCACTCCACATCATAGTCTCTGTTCTGCTGCTTCACCAGGTACTTGTTAGAAATGAACCTGCAGGAAAAGATATTTGAGAATTGGAAACTATAAAGCTGACTGACAAAACATTGGTTTGAGGTAGTGAGCCATACATGATCCTAACTCTCTACTCTGACAAAGCTCCTGCTAGCCAGGAGGAAAACAGGCAAGAATTATGCAGACCAGACTATCATTAAAAGGTTTTTGTTAACACTAATTACATTCCCTGCAGTCAATGGGCAGCTGAAATACACTGCTAGTAATACACCTGAACTTTTTAAAATAGATCAGTCCTTTGTTGGTACAAACGCGGTGATGACTTCAGAAAAGTGCTTGTACATTATCAGTAACACCTTGCACAGAGACCACTTCATCTCTACAGAAATGGCACTTCAAGGACAGCAAGAGGGCAGGCTAGCGCTCTCAGATACGAGCCCCTTCCTCTTATTGAAAAGAAGAGCTAACAGAACGCATGCCACCTGGTGTTACAGGCTACGGAACAAGCCTCCAGACTTTGTCTTCCTCAGCTGAAGTTCTGCTGACATCAGAAAATTTACCCTATTTAGAAGCGGAACAAGAAGTCAATACATACTCAGAAATAAGAATCACAGAATCACTAGGTTGGAAAG